TGAACGCTGTGTTTCAACCAGCCCACGGGCTGAGCACCAGCGGCAAGTTGTGTTTCGACCGCCCTTTGTGCGACCAGCATCATGAGCATTCACGGCCCAGCAGCGGAACGTCAAGTTTTGAAAGGCGTGTGCTTCAAACGACTTTCGTGGTTCCGGGCCTGTCATCCCAGCACGAAATCTGAGCTTTGCGTTTGTCGGCGACTGTACTCAGTAGATGTTGGCGGCGCTGGATGTCGCACATAATTGCAAGCGCATCTGATCTCGGCAGCCTCCTTTGGCCTCCTTCAGGTCGGGTTTAGAGTTTAGCGTAAGCCTGCGTGTTACTTTGGCTGCAGTGAGCTCTCTCGGAGCATCGCGCCTCGTGCCGCGGGTGTTCTTGATGCGCCAATCTGATCGTCTTTCCGGAAGAAATTGGCCTGGTTAAGTTACTAGTTACCAGGTGGGTGCTACTGTTGTTTGTCTCCAGGTCCTTGTTCTCCCACGTGCAACCCCCGTGTTATTGTTTCTGTCCGAGCTTTCAAGAGGCTCAGCAGGTTCTGAGCATCTGCAGCAAGGTCTTCAGTGCTCTTTCATGCTTCGTATGGCCTCACTCCCTTGCACACGTGGATTTGCCCCCCGACAAGCTGCAGTTTCTGCCTCTGCCAGGCATTTGTGGAAGAACTGCGATGCAGCCAACCTTTCCCGAATTGGGCTTGGGAACCCCAGTGTGGGCTACTATAGGGGCCGTAATCGTTGCCTACACTTGTGCTTGCTACTTTGGGGTCCCTTATTCTTGTAGTTTAGTATAGTACATTCCTAGACCCTATTCTAAATGCAGTTTCTCAGCATAAGCCTCGGAACGGTATTGGCAGCAATCACAGGGGTTTAGGGTTTAGGGTACAAGCGCCGTTCAAGCGGTAGTGGCAGCAGCGGGAAGTACCACTAGTAGCAGCATAGCAGGAACAGCAGTCAGTACAAGCATAAGTTGAAGCACAGGTAGCATCGGTCGTTGTAGTCGTGTTAGTCGTCGCCGTTGTCGTTTTCGTTGCAATGCTAGTGGCACCTGCCACTGCTGCATCTTTGCATGAGCTGACGCCGACCCGTGGTTCTTCATGCCTGGAAATAGTTCTTCCTACCCTAAACCCTAAACCCTAAACCCTAAACCCTAAACCACTATACCCTAAACCCTAAACCCCTAAACCCCTAAACCCTAAACCCTTGTGGTCGAAGGTGGACAGCACACAGTTTACGCTATGGAGCAGCTTCAGCCCGAAGCCTCACAGACCAACCAGGCCAAACTTCACAGAATTCAATCCTTCGGTTTCCGAACTTTTCGACCAGTGCTGAACCTTCAATGTTAAGAAATGTATCGTCGGGAGTGAGCTCTAAGAAAAAGTGGAGCCACGCCTAGACGCTAAACTCTACACCCCAATTCCTCAAACCCCGGCCCTATTACTCTGAGCCTCTACCGTCAAACCCTAAAAACCTAAACCCTAAAGGGTTTAGGGTTTAGGGCTATGCCTTTAACATGTTGCCTTCAACCCTACCTTCAACCGTAATACCCTACTTGGAGGTTCATGGTAGTTATAAGTGGGGTTATAAGTCCCCTAATATGAACTACAGTTACCCTACTTATAACGCTACTTATAACTCCCCATGAACCTCCAAGTAAACCCTACACCGTACGGCTGGTCTTGCCACAGAGGTCCTGGGACTGCCAGACGCTGTACAGTCGACGTGCGCTCGCTCTCGTGGCGGCTTGGGGTGCTCGAGGATGACGTTTAGGTTTTGGGGCTCAAGGTTTAGGGTTCAGAGCCTTGTAGCCTTCGGTCTTTTCATTCGTTTTGGAGGCCGTTAAACCTGCTGAAAACATGCTCACGATGCCGCAGAACTCCTAATCTCGGAGCCCAAAGCCTAAGCCCTGGACCTGTAAGTCCTAAACCTGGGTGCAAAGTGGTTGTTGCGCAAATCTTTGATGTAGAATTACCGCACTTTCCAGCTACACTTCCAAAAGCAATCTGAAACCTGAACCTTACATCGTTTAGTCGTTAAGCTTAACATCTGAAGCCTAAACTAGCTGAAGCCTAGTTACGGTTTAAAATACTCGAAGCCCATCTGCTTAAAAGTGGAGGAGGTCATGGCTCAGTTCGAGAAAACATCGCATTTGTCTATCGGGAGAGGTGCAAAGCTTCTCGCTGTGCTACCTAATCTAGGCTCCTGATGAAGAATGAATTTCTTCACTGCTGAGTAAGGATTTCCATTGTAAATGGTAAGAGGGATATTGGGCTTAAGGTCCTGGCTTCACTCTATCCATGTCATGTAGACGCAGCTGACCCTTTTGGCTCAGCTGTACGAAGCTGCCTCCCCAGTGTGTCTGGCCGACAGCAGGCACATTCCCGGTTCAGGGCTCTGCCCATGAGGATCCTGACGTGAACACGTACATCTTAGCACCGGCAACTGGTCGGTTCTTAATTGTAAAACTTCATGCACGTTTTGGCGTGAAGACAAAAGCTGCGACGATAATCATTGCAACGCTGTAGCGTTTGCTAGTGTCGGTGCTGTTGTTCCAGTGATTCTGTTATGAGCTAGGCATGGGGGTTTAGGGCGACGGTGTTGGGCAGCACTTTTCAATCTGTACCCGGCATCCTCCACGGTACTAGGCCAGTACTTGAGAAAGACTACGTATCTTGAAGGAAACCATATAGCATAGCTTCTGAGCTCGTTCTGTTGAATATGTCCTGCCATCACACTGAGATGATGTGACGTACGGCTCGCGCTTATACTGTTTTTTTTTGTGTAGCACCACATTGCTAAGTGCTACCTACTAGATATGGTGTTGTAAGATTGCCTTGTCGTCTAAAGATATGTTGATCTTACCTCTGAGAGGTGATGTATGCTGGCTATTTGTGCACAAGGGGAACATGCATCACATTGCCAATGCGCACTGTGTTTGCGAATGTGCTTGATACGTTCAGAGGTGTCTGGTGTGATTCCTGTCGTGACGCTTGCCCTTGCCCTTGCTTAGTCGTTGCATAGTCCTGCATCATATGAATCATATGAATCATATGGACCATGTGGAGTTTCTCTGCATCCATGACATGTCTTGGACATCGAAGGTTGCCGGGAACCCGAGATCGTAAGCCCATCAAAGCCTGTAGTCCATAATTACTTGACCCTAAACTCCAAGCCCCTTCGACCCCAAACCCTAAATGCTAAACTCCGAAAACCCTGGAGGCCAAAAGGAGCTAAGCAAAAACAACAAAAACTAGACCCCGACGCACTAAACCCCCCAAAGTCCTAAATTCGATTGCAGGTGAGCCATGACTCTGTTGGTGCGAGCTGCCCGAGCTCGGCTTGTGCCTTTGGGCCTGCGTGGGGCTGCGGCCTTAGCGATAAGCGCTGCGGGTTTGGATTGGGGTTTTGGGTTCAGGGTGTTGGATTTGGGATTGGGGTTTGGGGTTTAGGATTTTGGGTTTGGGCTTTGGGGTTTTGGCCTTTTGGTTTTGGGGTTTCAGGAGTTTGGGGTCCGGGGGTTTGGGGGTTGTAGGTTTGGTGAGAGCAGTTTAATGAATGGGCTTTGCACTGAAGCGATGGCTTCAGTCAGGAGCCGGCTCTGGGGGGAGGGGGGAAGGGTTTCGGGATCAAAGCCGTCTAATTAAGCACCCGAAATCATAAAGCCTAAACCGTAAACCCCTAAACCCCAAACCCCTAAACCCTAAACCCCTAAACCCTAAACCCCAATCCCCTAAACCCTAAACCATCAAACGCACTCTAGGTGGCGACCTCTGCAGCGCGCCTCGGCGGTTCGCCACCGTGGGGGCCCCGGGAAGTGACAGCCCGAAAGCAGCGCAGCAATGTTTGGGGAATGTACATGGGATAGGGTTTAGAGTCAAGTTTAGAGTTTAGAGTTTAGGCGTTAAGGTCTAGGGTGTAGGGATTTGGGAGTAGTATGAGACGATAATTATGATGCTGAAAGTTATGGGCTTTCTGCACTTTCTATTGTTATACTATTTAGTTTCAAATCTTGTTGTTTTTTGAGACGCTGCCCGAACTAGACAGCCATGCGCAAAGAGCTCGGTGATGGATGTGCAATCGTCTGCATCAAGCAAAGGATGAGGCTGCAGGCCCGGGTGGCCTTGTTATGCTGCAAAATTCGGGTAGTTCTCCGAATTAGTGTCACCTTTTAGGTCCCCCAAATCGTGCGGCACCCTTATAAAAAAAAGGACCTCCAAATAGAGAACTGCCCCTTTGCCGATGTGACTGGATGCTGAGGTTTCTTCACATGCCGCCGCCACCTCCCCCTGAGTTCGAGCCAGATGGCACTCCGAAGAAGTGCCCCAGACGGATCCTTGATGTAACGTTGCCATTCCAACACACCTCGTGGTCGAAGGAGTAGTTGTAGTTGCGAGGAGTTTAGTAGCCCTGAACCCTAGACCCTAAACCCTAAACTCTAAACTGAGTCAGTTGTTGTCTTGCAGTTGTCTTCTACCTCGCAGTGGACACGGGCACGTGACGGACTGTCCTTTACTCTGGTCCACCATGGCTTTCTGGTCAGAGCACCCGCTAACCCCGGAGCCGCGCCCTTTTCTTGACCCTGCTACCTAAACTCTACCCATAGGCCCCATAGTAATTCCTTTTTGTGGCGTATACCTAAAATCCTGTTAGGTAATCCCAAAAAGGAACTACTATGGGCCAATGGGGCCTATATGGGTAAACCCTAAACCCTAAACGGGCCGATTGAAACTGGAAAAGCAAACAAAAAGCAGGTACCCTCTTCACCAGCCAGTATGGGACCATGGCTACGTCGCTGGCTCAGCTCTGCGGGAGCTTGGGCCCTGGGACTTTAAGAAAATCGACGGCTCCTTTGTTTCATGGACATGTTTCCGTAAGAAGCTGCGACATCCCTCTCCCGCGAAAACGGCAAAGGATTGGGAGCATTGGACGCTGATGCCTGCTGGCATGTGGAAGACTTAGTATCGGGTTCGCTTGCATTCCAGTCGCTTTACATCACGTCTGCTGCTCCTCACTGACTCTTGTGTTGCGTGCCTGGCGAGAATAAACTCCTGACAGGGGCGTAGCCTTGTGTTGCGGTCGTGCGGTCGGAACCCCGCAAGCCCCACAAGCATGCTTGCGCAGATTTCACACCGTCTACTACGGTGAGTTTGCGCAGGTGGAGCTTGGGGAACCGCTGGATGTGCCTAAAGAGTCCTTGGTCATTTTGAGATCTTGACAACACCAAAAACTCCTTAACGCCCCAATCCCTCAACCCTATAATTCCTAAACCTATAAGAACCTTAATTCCTAAACCCAACCCTTCTCGAGGAGCATGGGTGATGGGTAGGAGAAGCTTACGTCGGGCTGAGGGGCTCTACCCAGATCCGCGAATTTGCTTGAATGACCCTACGCTTCCAGGGAACTTATTATTGGGTCCTTAAAGGGTCCAGGGCCCTAACTATAAGGTCCCTGGAAGCATAGGGTTAAGGAATGCAGAGCTCTTTGGTCATCTTCGAAAGACGAATACACAATATAGCACGCGCTAAACCCGCTAAGCCCAACCCTATAATCCCTAGACCTAGACCCTATAGTCCTAAGCCCTATAATCCCTACACTCTGTAATCCCTAAATCCTAAACGTCCTAAACCTTATACAATCGCTAAGCTCTGAAACTGCGAGTTCTTTTCCTAGACCCTCCATCTACCCTCTATTAGACCCCAAATACCCTTAATTTGGGACCCTAAACCCTAAACCCATATACCCCTATTTGAGGGTACAAGGAGGGTCCTGGTTCCTTGGCTTGTCAGACCCTCTCAATAAGGTCCCTTTTAAGAGAGCCAAAAGTAGGGTTCAGAAGGGGTGCCCTTTAAGGGGTACCCCGAATAAAACTACATATTTTCCTTGGCTTGTCAGGACTATCCTCCGTACTGGGCCTGGCTCCAGAGCTTCCCGCAACGTGGCGTGCGGAAGTGGGGCGGTTTAGGGGTTTAGGGTTTATATCATAGGGTAGTTTAGGGTTCAGGGTGGTTTAGGGTTTAAGGTTTAGGGTTCAGGGTGGTTTAGGGTTCAGGGTGGTTTAGGGTCTAGGGTGGTTTAGGGCTTAAGGTTTGAAGACGGGGGTGCTGATTTGGGAAGCCCAGCAGGCCATCAAAAGCGTAGGTTGCAGTCTACAGTGATCTTCGCAACATACATGTGCAAGTCAAGGCACATAAGATATCACAAGGTTTAGGTTTGGAGGTTTAGGGCCTATAGGGTTTAAGGTGTTACGTTTGAGTGTATAGGTTTTAGTTGGTGAGGTTGGCCGTCCAGCGATTTTACGGTACTCCCGCCTGGCGATGCGCAGACGGACATTGCACTTTCGTCGGGGTTCCTTAGTATAATTGTAGTATAATGGGCCCCAAAACCCTATTCTAAGTATTAAGAGGCCCCTAATATAGAACCCTATTATAGCACCATCCTAGGAAGCCGCAACCAGAAATCTTGAACCCTAAGCTTCCCTAAACCCTGGGGTCGGAGACCCTCGATGCTAAGGCCGAAAATGCAAAAGAGTACACAACTCCAGCTCGGCTTCTAGAAAGACTCCTGAAATGCAGGACTCCTGTAATCCAGACATACTGCATCATACTTGAAAACTTGTACAGCATAGTAAATGACATGCGATGTATGTCCTGCAAGTGCACTGCAGTGCAATGTAATGCCATGCCATGTTGCATAATGTAGTGTAACGACAACATGCATGTATATAAGGTACATGCACGCATACATCTGCATGTGCTTGATCTCCGTCAGCTTGCACAGCGGTGTAGTGCCGCACAGCAAAGTACAAGACTGATATAGAATCCTAAACTAAATAATTGCAGATATTATTCCTAAGGGTTCCTCGTTATAGCTTTCCTATGAAGGAGCCCAAAACCTTATTCTAATATTAAGGCCCCTACATTACGTCTTCTGAGGCTTTGGGTGGCCTCACCAATCCTTGTCCTGGGTGCCATCGCGACGCGGCAGGGATTCGTGTTGATTCGAAAGGGTCCTTGTGGTACTATATTACTACATGGTTTCATAGCTTTAAACCCTATAAACCCTACCTCTGGCTCCAATTACCTACTGTTTTGAGGGCTATACCCTATGGTCATAACCTGCTATTCTGTAGGGGTTGGGGTTACGGGTAAACCCTCACATTAAGGGACAATAGGAGGGACCCTAGAAGGGACCCCTAATCAGCCCTAATCCAAATACCCTATATAACCCTTATATAGTCTCATAAAGCCCCTATATAACCCCAAGGGTCCCTTTAAGGGTCCCTCCTTTAGTCTCTTGAGATGAAATCCTCCCAGAGACTCCAAAACCTCTTAAGTAAGGAATATACATTAAATCAGACCAGGTATCCTACTACAACTTAAGGTATATTCCTTACTGAAGGGGTTTTGGAGCCTTTGATCACAGAGAAGGAAAGGTTCAGGGAGACTCCAGGGCTCTGAAAGATGGCTTCGAGGCAGAAGTCCCGAAAAAAGCCGTCATTCCAAACCACGGGAGCGATACGGCTTAGGGCTTGTAGGGTTGAGGGCTTAGGGCTTGTAGGGTTGAGGGTTTGGGGCTGTAGGGTTTAGGGCTTGTGGGGTTGAGGGTTTGGGGTTTAGGGTTTTTTGTTGGGGTGGAGGGTTTAGGGTTTAGTACTTTGGGTTTAGGGTTTAGGGGCTTGAGGGTTTAGGGTTTAGGGTCTGGAACCCCGAAACTAAGCATCCTAAACTTCAAACGGAGATATGTTCGGCAGAGAGAGAGACCTGTCAAATCAATTGTCGGTAGTGTTTCGGGCCCAGCAATGCTGGGTCTTCTCACGGATTTGCGAGGTTTTGCACATGTACCACAACGAGCACTGACGGTTTCTATTACTCTTCCCACCTGCTGAAAGGGGATTTGAGTTGTACAAATGTCAGCTCACTACTGTAGTAGGTTGTATGTTTTTTTGTACCATGAGCCCTGAGATACTTGGTTTGGGTGCAAGCCGGTCTGACGATGGCGGCGTGAACAATCCTACTCCTCTTTATTTCATACCTCTCGTTGCTCTCAATCCTTGGCGTCCCACTCAAATCTCCAGCTGCATCCCGAAGACCAGAGTTGTCAGTTGAGATATAAGGGACCTCCGGAAATTCTAAAGCTGCACGTCAAGCCCTGGATCCTGTGAACCCGAATCCGAAAAGCCGCTCTGCCCATCTGAGATCGCCACGGTCAGGGACTCAGTTTCGAAAGTGTTTGAGGAATCTGGATGAGCTTCATTCCTGAATATATCGAACTGCAACACCGGGTTATGATGTCTTTGAAATTGAGACAAGGGTCGTTGGGCTTTCCCGACGAGTCTTGTGAGCATTGCAAGTGTAATGTGACATACAGACATACAGCCCTAGAAACAACGGCAATCTGGACAGTACACACACACTCACACGCCGACACGCAGCCGCGCAGACGCACATGGACACACATACACACACACACACGCGCGTGCGCACTCACTCACGTAGATGCGCGCAGAATGAGCATGCTGTCACACAGGTGCTGGTGTAGTGTGTTCAGTTTTGGGCAATGATGATACAATGCTAAACTGAGCCTGCATGTGACCTTCGAAACAGTTCAGAGGGTGGGTTTAAGCACCGATTTATACGGTTGATGATATAAATCCTGCATTACCCATAGTAAGGAAGATAAAATTAAATTATTCCCACAGTGTAGGCCGCTTGAGGTAATGCAGGATTTATATCATCAACAGTCGTGATGACGTGGTAGGGTAGATGCGGAGGCTGCGTTATAGAACCCTAAAAGTGAAAATTCAGCACAATCCCACCGCCCGCAACATGTGATTCTATCGTCAGACCGTCTTCCAGAATGCCGGCAGCGTGGGCATCAGGCAGGCTTCGTTCAAATATGCGCACTACATACACCCCTGCTGCTGCCAGTACTACTACTACTACTACTACTACTACTACTACTACTACCACTACTACTACTACTACTACTACTACTACTGCTGCTGCTGCTGCTGCTACTACTACGACTACGAC